AGAGCCCAGGGGATACCCATGTGAATACTTTTACTAGGCAGTCGGGTTCCTGAGACAGGATCTCTGGGGTTGAATCCTAGTTTGAGGTATGGATTTTAGATATGTGTACAAAGGTGAAACATGCAGCCATGGGAGTGTGTGATCTCCCACACAGAGAGAAATGAGGAGAAACAAGCGTCAGAAAAATAAGACATGAGGCATTTCAGGATGGAGGGAGTGGACTATAGCATCATTTACCAGAGTTGGATTAATTGAGGGCTCAGAAGGGGAGATGGGATTTAGCAGCGTGGATGTCACTGGGGTTCACGGTAACTATAGCTTCAGTGGACCAGTGGGCGTAGACATGAATGGATGAAGTAGAAACAAGTGGTGAATATAATTATTTTTTATTCTAATACAATTACAGAAATTTATATAAAAATACTTTAGCCGAGCATAATCTTTTCCCTGCTGAAGTCAAATGAACAAAAGATTAACCATTTTAAAGTGAGAAATTCAGTGACATTTAGTACACCCATAACGTTGTGCAACTACTATATCTAGTCCCAAAACATTTTCATCACACCAAAAGGAAAACCCATATGCTTTAAGCGGTTGCTCCCCATTCCCCACTCCACTAAGCCCCTGGCAACCACAAATCTGTGTTCTGTCTCTATAGATTTACCTATTCCGGATTTTTCATTTAAATGGAATCATACAATATGTGATGTTTTGTGTCTGGCTTCTTTCATTTTGCGTATCGTTCTCGAGGTTCATCCACATTGTAGCATATATCAGTGCTTCATTCGTGTTTATGGCTGATGATAATCCATTACATGGATAGGTCATAATTTATGTATCTACTCCTTTGTTGATGAACTATTTCTACCTTTTGGCTTTTGCAAATAATGATGCTGTGAGCATGCAAGTACATGTATTTATTTATGACCTGTTTTCAGTTATTTTGGGCATATATCTAGGAGTGGAATTGCTGGGGCCTAACATAGTTTTAGAAAACTATACTTTTATATAATGCTAACTGAGAATCCACAGGACGCATTGTACATTGTAGAAAATGTTGGCTTATATAGTCCAAATGTTCTTTAAGTACTTCACATTCTCTTTGAGATAGGATTGGTGAAACCACCAACCAGCAAACAGTCCATCAAGAGATGGTTAAGTTTAATGGAAAAAAAATACATATCTATTATAAAAATACATATATAGAAATAATTTTTAAGAAGGAAGTACCCTTTATATTCATTTATTTAAAATTTAATTTTCAATTACAACTACAGTTGACATACGGTATTCTATTAGTTTCAGGTTGCAACATAGCAATTAGACATTTATGTAACTTTTGATGTGATCACCCTGATAAGTCTAGCACCCATCTAGAAAGTGCCCTACAGAACTGAGTTTTGAGTCTGACAAGAAGAAAGAATTTCAAGTGAAGAGTTTGAATAAATTAACTCATGTAGCAGAGAAAAGGGGAAACAGGCACAAAGTTGTGTGTTTCAGTTTAATTTTTCTGAAGAAAAGAGTGCAAGTTGAACTCTAGTTGGCAACAAGGCGAAGAGATGCAGAACCCCGTGGTGCTACTTTAATAGCTAGCTGACTTTTGAGATGGTATTTTCAAAATCAATTTTTACTCCTTTGCCAATAACCACTGACTCATTTTTTGAATGTTTAATCTTGTGGTCTGTGTTTCTCCACTCAGACACCAGTGTGTCTAGGAGGAGATTGAGTTCTATATGTGACAAGCAATCTAGCCTCCTTGTGGCTTAGTTAAATTTTCCTTCTGCAGTCTTTCCTTTGTAGAAAGAACTCTTAGGAATCAATTATGGGACTGAGATTTTCTCAAATATGACTCTGATTTAATTCCCAAAGAACTACCTACAGACTTGGGAGAAGAAATAACTTTGGTTGAGTGTCCATTAAGTGTTTTATGTACCTGAGCAAATTTAAGTCTTATAACAACCCAGTACATGGGATATACACCTGGAATGACTAACGCCAAAGTCAAGCCTCTGACCAGCATATATTAGAGTGCCTATTACGTGCCATCTTATGTGTTTGTGGCTTACTAGTGTAGTAGGATGAGAATGATGCTGGGGATGCTTGCAAGCCCAGCAGGAAGCAAAGCTCTGATGGGTTAGCTCTGATGTTTTCCCAGGAGGACAGAAAGAGGTGGGGGAGGTCCTTTACATGCCACACCTAAGCTGTGTCATATACTTCTCAAGGAAAGATTCTGGATGACTTATCAGGAGAATATTAGTTTCTCTTCTAGAATGTATATCTGGGATAAGTCCATTGTTGATTCAGGGAGGTATCTTTTAATTCTCCATTTCATCTATACTATCTCTATTCAATATTTGTGATCTCAATAAACTAACCGCTAGGGTTAACATATTTATTCACATAAGTGGTATATATGTGTTTCAGGCCGAAAAAGCTGATGGATTTGTCAACTTGCCCGATTTCACTGTGGAGAGAGCATCTGAATGCAAAAAAAAGCAGTAAGTTGTCTATCATTTTCCAAGAAACTCTGAGCCAGGATAATTATCCCTTCATAATGTTCCTTGAGTGATGTGGCAATTTGGAAGTTATTGAAGGTGACACTCAAATGTCCTAGAACTTTGAGCTTTATGGGTTGACACCCTAAACAGTAATAGGAGCTTTTAACTTCTTGTTTTTTGGAATTTCATTTTGTGGAGCAGATGGATTTTAAAACCCCATGGAGCCTTGGCATGGCATGTTGTTGACAACTGTGTCTGTGATGTAATTAAAAATAAACTCTCTTCCAGGATTGGCAGAGAGATCAGATGTCAAGGTTTTGTCCTTGTAAAGAGAATGGCTGGTTAAGTAGGATTCTTCAGAGCTGTAGATTATGATGGCAAGACCAGTTTCTTTATCTTAGTTTATGGAATTGTCAGTAACACCCTTGAAATTGAATTCTCTTGAGACGTCTTAGACTTGGGGATTATTCATCAGTGTAATTTAAGTCCAAAAAATTGAAGAACTGACAAGAACCAAAAAAGTCACCAGCCCATTATCCATGTAATTGAGAAGGGAACGATGCAGAGAGTCTGGACTTGGCTTTGAATCATGGGCGGGCTAGCTCTAGACCAGGTATCCAGACTCCATGTGTTCTCCTCGTGATAGTATCCGACTGCATTTTGCATATGTCTCTTCTTCACCTTTTTTTTTACTCTTTTTTTTTTCTACTGTTGACATCTTTTTTTTCCTGTTATACCGGAAAAGGGCATTTTTTTCTATTGAGTTATGTTGCTAGTAGCAGCAATTGATTCGTTTATTTCTAAGAAAATTAACTGATACTAGCTTTAAATCTTTGCCACTCTGGTGTGGTTGTGCATACCTAGTGATGCATGAGGTTGGGTGATTTTTATGGTTTTGACCAAACTAGTTATTTGTAAAATTCTTGCCCAGACTGTAGGACTTTCAGACTAAATGGTAAAGGGGAAACACTTTATTTGTTGTCTTTAATGTTTTATACTTTTACTTGAAACTAAAAATCTGCCTTATATTTTTCTTTCCTAGAGGGTTGTCACAGTGCGGACAACCTATATTTTTCTGTAAATAAGTTATTGTACATAGTTGACTGAATTAATACTTTTCTTAATGTTGCTGATCTGAGTATTTTGAAGTGACATCTCTATCACTTTAAATTTTAATTTATTGTCTCTTTATAGCAAAACAGTAAGCAAATGAAAATAAAATAATATTCCTGTATGTCTTAAACAGAAACTATTGATCGATTGAGACTCAATTCTGTTCTGGATATCCTAACATGATAAATTAAACTTCTGCTCTTTACGTAAAATAGAGATTAGACAGTAGGAATTTAATGTAACTAAATTATTTTTGTAAATTTACAAAGAAAGCAGATGAATTCATTATGCTTATGTTTGACTGATTTATTTTCAAACCCATTGATAATTATAAATACTAATTCTTTATGTGTCTATGCTTTTCCCTTTCAAGCGCTTTTAAGATCAGCCACCCACAGATCAAGACCTTTTATTTTGCAGCTGAGAATATGCAGGAAATGAATGTGTAAGTAGAGGAAATCGCTAAATCCAATCTTTATGGGAATAGACTTACTTTGGTCTGGTATTTGAATTTTAAGCATATGTTCATATTAATTATTGTTTTATTTATTTCTACTGCTTTAAAGATTAATCTCTTTAGTACCTATAATGTCTTCTTGGCTTCTTCTCTAGTATTTAGAAGCATTTTAGAGAACTACCCATATCAAAATGGCTATTTTAGGAAGAAGTAATGAGACTCTTCCAAGGAAACCACTAAATTGAGAAATGAATAGACAAAAGTCATTATAAAAAATGTTAAAATGAGAATCTGCATCCCTGGGAGCAAAGCTTGAAAGTATTATGAAACCAATCAAACAGCTTTCAGAATCCTACATGAAAAATATCTCTACATGTAGCATTTTGTATGTGCTGTATGATTGTTCTGTTGATTTCTGTGTTTATCACCTCTCCATTTTCAATGCCAAACATTTTGCAAAATATCCTTGCTCAAAGTATATCTAACACAAATTTTATATCCTGAAATTTCTGTTTCTTCTTTGCTCTGTTTAAATAAGTGGAATATATGCATAGAGTACTACCTGTCCCACTCCATCCCCTACTGGTTTAGATTATGGTGTGATATGTGTGTGTGTGTGTGTGTATACACACACACACACACATACATGTACGTATATATATATACATATACACATATGTATACACACATATAATATATATACATATAATATATGTATATTATATTAAATTACACTGATGAATATAATATATGTATATTATATGTGTATATGTGTGTGTGTGTGTGTGTGTATGGTACTTGAAGCATCAGGGGCATTCTATTTAATTTAAGCTCTATTTTCAGAATTCATAATGTCTCTTATTACCTTACATAACTGATTAAAAATATGACTATGGAACACCTACTATGTGTCCCATTGTGGCAGATCTTGGGCAATAGAAACAAAGAATACAGACATAATCCTCCATAGAGTTTATGACTTTATTTATTTTATTTATTTATATGTAAGGATTTTCTTATCCATTTTCCCTATATAATATCTCTTTGTCCTCCTGCTTTAGATACCTAAAGAAAAAAGAAGCTGCTTTTCTTCAAACACACGTGCGCTCCCGAGTACATGTGTACGCACACACACACAAATAGCCTCTTATAAAATATCCCGTCAGCAGACCCATCGAGCTAAAGCATTTTCATCAGTTCCCTGTACGTATCTCCCACCACAACCCTTCACTTGAGGGCAGATGGCTCTCTACCACAGAAGGTTGGGAAACTCAGTGTTAGAAATAACAAGGCAAGGAATCCAGACTGTCTTTCAAACAAGTGTTTTATTTACTCGGACAAAGAAAGAAGTGGTTTCCCTTTCTGATTTTAATCCCCACCCCGCCTGGCTTTCTAAAGCATCTGAGAAAAATTAGAGCAGGCACATAAAAGGAGAGGATTTAAACAACTTCACATTCAGAGCTCTTTATTTCTTTTTTTTTTATTTGCATTGGAAACTACATCCTATCGATTAGCAAGCCTTAGGTGTGTGAGGGGTGCGTGGAGGGCCCAGCAGTACTTGGAGCCCTTAAGATAGTGAGGGCCAGTCTGGAGCTGAGGCATCAATTAATCTCAAATGGTCTTTCCTGTTCTTTAATGGTCACGAAAAAGTGCGGTCCCACCACCCCCTCCACCAACTCCCCGAGAGCCTCTTGCTGTCTCTGGCTTTTCTCAGTGTCTTATATCTCTGGCTTCCTTCCTGTCTACATCCTCCCGACCCATCCTGCAGCTGGTTCTTTCAAAGAAGTTTTGTTCTTTCCCACAAGAGAAGAGTGAGACCTGGTTTACCAGAGGATCAGTTACTGCTAAGTGCTTTGCTACCTGGCGAATTCTCCTCCTACACAGTAAAATATATTTGTAAACCAGTAAAAGTGGTTTCAACCAGATTTGCTCTCTAAATTACACATCAGAATTATTTTGTTCCCTGCTCACTCTCTTCTACAGTTTTTGTTTATGTCTTCATTCCTTTTCTCTTCAGTTCTCATGTTCTCCCTTTGTAAGGATCTATCTAATGGCAAGTAGAATTGCATGAGTATAAACTACAGATAGGACATATTCACGCTACCCGGTTGACTGTTAAATCAGAGCCTTTTGTAGTTATCAAAGCTAATGTTTTATTGTCTATGCTGTGAAGATCTGTTAATTTTACTTGAAATTATGTTAGTATTTATCTTTCCAGCTTACAAACAAGATGTAAATTGACATTCGAATGTCAGATGTCTTGACCCCAGTGTTTTGAATGACTTTTATCCTGAAAATTGTCCATCTGGCCACTCATAGATAAATGGCTCATTTTGTCTGTGCCCGAATATATCATTATTTCTTTTATATATAATATTGTTAGTAAGTTTTGTTATTCTGAACATAATTTTTTGAATGGCCAACAATGCAGAATCTCTTTGGGCCTCCAGGTTCACTTCTTCCTTCTCCCACGAGATTATGCATGTGATATTTAAAGATTTGTTCTGCAATATCATCTGAAGAGCTTTCTTTCATACTGATGTGGCCGGTTTAAGCCAGGAAATCATGTATCTGGGTGTTTCTTAGTGAGATGCAAAGATGCCGGTGAAGGAGGGAGTGAGTGGCGTTTGGCTAGACTGGTCCTGGATGGTGATGTTTCTCTTAGGGACGATGAAGGGAAAGGTAATTAAGTTTAATAGAAATGCCATGTATTCTGCAGGGACCCTCAAGTAATTAAGGGTTATGAAAGAACTAGTCTCTAAGTGAAGGCTGGTGGTGGTTACGTTTCTCAGATGGTATTGATGGGAAATATGTTCTTGAAACTGTACATCAATTTCTTTACACTTGTGCATCTCCAACACACGTTCACATCAAGTCAATATACAACAAACTCCCAGGAAACATCTGTCATCTTCTTCTATGTAAATATGTCTTTTCGTGCATTCATTTATTTAGTCACAGACATATTTTTTATTGCCTTGATGTTAAAAAATAAAAACGTTCTTAGCAAAGGAGGTAGTTTAAGCCAGTGAGTTTAGAAGGAAAACAGTTAAACGAGATTCAAATCCATTGCCACTTTTTCACAGGTAGTGACTAATGGTAGCATTCAAAAGGACATGGGTTTTGGGTAAGGAAGGGCTAAGAAGTATCTTATTTTTAGTCTCTGCTCTTCCATTTTGCTGTGTTTCCATATTTTCATGTTCTTGAAAAGAACTTAGAAATGCCTCTTCTTGTTTCAGGTACTCTTGATTTAAAAGGTTTTATCTCGGTATATTAAATTTTTTTTTTGTCTATTTCACTTTTAGATGCTTTTTTTTGGGGGCGGGAAGGTCAGTTTATACAATTATGAAATCAGGTATAAATTAAAGATTAATTTATATTGGTCTTTTAAAAATGAATCATTGAATTCATTGTGCTTTGCCTGATAAGTGTTTAAAAATGTACTTTTAAATGTTTTAATTAAGTAATATATAACATATTCTTGCAAAAAATTATATAATACAGAAGTATGCAAAGTGAAAACCTTCCCATACCTTCAATTTGACCTTCTAATTCAACTTCTCTCTGTAAGATTAACCACTTTTAACAGTATCCTGTACATCCTTCCTGATGCTTCCTTTGTATACCAATTCATGCACATATGCAAATATAAAGTTTTTGAAGTACATTGAATCAGGCTAACCATGTTGTTTTTACTTGCTTTTTTTCACTTAACAGTATGTTAGGATATTTCCAGGTCATTACAAGGCACCCGTATCTCAGTCTTTTCATTAGCTTCATTACAACATGGTGATGATGGATTCAGTACCATACTTTATATTTTTCTATTGATTGACAATTATATTGTATTAAAGTTTTTTTTTCCCTTGCCATGGCAAGACCTGTTGAATTAACATTCTTCCACATTTATTGGTTTACATGAATGTGTTTTTGTAGGAAAGATACTTAGAACTGTTGGGTGAAAGGGATGGATATTTAAATTTTTAATAGTATCATCGAATTGCCTGCTTAAAATTGGCTGTATTGGTTTTCATTTTCGGCTCCACAAAGGATTGAGAATGGTTTTTCCTAAATTCTAGAAATCATGGATATTTAAGATTTTTGCCAATCTAATGGAATAAAATATTTTTCTGTGTTCGAATATGCATTTCTAAAATATGATTGAAGCTGAGAATTTTGTTCCATATATTTATCAGTCATTTGTATTTTTTTGTAATTTCCAGGGGTTTTTTGTTTGTTTGTTTGTTTATTATTCTATTGTATCTTGGTGAACGTTTTCTAGTTCCTATGGAAAGATCTGGACCCAGATATTGATCTAGTTTTAGGTGGCCATTAGAAATCTCATTTTTATCAAGGCGTTGATGGGAATTTCTTAAAAGAGGCTACAGCTCATCTTTTTATTGTAGGAAGTCCATTTATTTATTTTTAAAGATCTAATTTATTGCATATTTTCTGTTAAAAAATACAGCAAGACCATGGCAGGTTGAGAGTTAGATAAAAATTACGATTACTAATTTGTCGGCAACTGTAGACTTGGGAATATGCAATATTTATTTCGTGGTGGGAGTGCAGCATGCTGAATAATTCATGAAGCATTATGAGCCTAGAAGAAATGAAAAGTGTAAGTGAATCAATAAGTGCATAGCATTATTATTATTATTATTATTATTTTGTTGATACTGGTAGATTTAGGCCACTACTAAATGCTCTGGTTTCTCAAAAAATATATACAATATGGAATTCTTTTTAAATAAGAAGACTACAAAGAAGTGAAAAATAAATCACATAGATTACCACCACCCCCAAATAATATTTTCCCTTTAAATAGAAGGTTATATAGCTAGGAATATATGAAATAGACACATTGTGTATCTTTTAAAAATTTGTGTTATAAAATATGTTCCTAACTAAACCCTTGAGAAAAAACTACAGTAGCCTGAACTCATAAGCCAAGTTTGACTTCCTAATGGTTTGTCTAGTTCTGTTTTTGTTATTAATGTTTAGTTGGAATTCATTGCCAATCAAATGGTAAATCAATAGAAGACATGACATTGTCAATTTTTAATTTACATAAAATTCTTTAAGGAATTAAAAATGTCTCCAGCTTGGGAATACCCGTCAAGCTCTAGCTAAATATTTTACTGATTAATATAAAAATCCTGGCTTAAAAATGTGTCATCTCTATTTTTTTGTGTGTGTGTGAAATAAACTCACATTTTAAAAATTAAAAGGATAAAACTTGAATGTCAAGTTGTGAAATTCAACGATAGCTTGATTGTTGCTATAAATTTCAAATGAATAACAACATAAGATATATTTATTCATATATTTAGAATATCCAAAGTAGTTGCCTCTATTAGCCAACTGGATAACGGTACACATTTCTTATCTTACAAAGAATGCCTTAAGTAAGAAAAATACTGTGAAACCAAATACTGTCAATGTTATTGACACCTAAGAAAGGTGTCAATAACATAAACTTACTCCGTTTCTGGAAATGTTTAGACCGACTGCAGAATTATGAATTAATTGCATTATAAAGTCTGGCAGAAGACCTCTCTCAGTGCCTAGAGGACAGGTAAATAGGTAGAGGATAGATCTCGTTGGTTAAACATTTATTTTCTATTTAAACTTTAGGTGGTTAAACAAGCTTGGATTAGCTGTCATCCACCGTGAATCCACTACAAAGGATGAAGGTATGTTCTCTTTTAAATTTCCAGCAAGAATGTTAGAATAGGATGAGAAAATGATGTCAAGTTCTGTGCATAGTCTTGTCCTAATGAAACATACTTTGGCATTTAAAATTATCTGAAAATATATACAGACATACTCATACAGACTCACTAGCATGGAATAGAGCTTCTGGTGCTGGCTATGAATGCTTTTTGCACTTCGCCCACACCACACGTTAGCAGCTGTGGGCTTTGCTGACGTCTCAAACAATTGCCAATGCAAATGTTTTATTGCCCCACTTACTGGATTCTTACTCAGAGGTATCATCTCATCATGATCTAGACAGATAACTTTCATCCCACTATTTCCTCTCTGATATTTTAGTATTTCCACCAGCTGTGTGCTAAGAATAATTACCCTAAGTAGTATTAGGAACCTAAAGGTCAGATTGGGACACAGGCCATACTTTTAGCATTCAGGGCTCAACAGCTATCGGAGTCTGATTCTTAATGAGGCAAGTCATTAATATTGAGAAGGAAGCTTTAGGTTCCCGGGTTACAGAGCTGATACCGTTTCTGAAATGCTCAAACCCGGGACTTGGAACTAGGAAGTCATATCTTTGGATAACAAAATCATCAAACTTAAATTTAGAAAAGGAAAAGTGGCAATTTCATTTTAAACCACGAAGAACTATAGCACAGTGCTGTGAAATCAGTGTCCTAACCATCTCCGTGCTCTTCTTTTCCATAAAATTAGTACCTATTGTATATTTGAGATACATTTATAGATTGTGAAGAAAAAAAGAAAACTACACAAAACCCTTCTCCTTCCCCTGGTAAGTAAGGGCTTCCATGACATGGCCTCGAGGAACCTTCCAGCTTCATATATTTTTTTTTTTTTTACCATAGCTCTTAGAGAACCCCATATACTTAGCTCATTCTGTGCTCTTGGCTTGGTACCCACATCGCTCTGTGTGCACCAGTGTTTACTTATCCTACCAACTTCAGCTCATTATGATTTCCTTTATCCAAATGAATCATTACTGATTTTATACTCCCTTAGTGTATGACTCACACTCCCTGAGGAATTATTTTATTTTGCCTGAGCTATGGTTAGTTCCCTTCCTGCGTGTTAGGCTCTCCTTGAGGGCAGAAGCCCTGACATGGCCATTTGTTTTCCCCTCTTATGTAAACCCTTTGCACCAGGTATCTCACTAGATAAGTATTTTCTGAATTGGATTGGAATAGCAGCAGCCAGATGGGAAAAACCTCTGCTCACGTGTTATGGAATAAGTGTTGATGGCGTTGAGACATTAAGCATTTTCATTTTTGTTATAGAATGCTACAGCGAGAGTGAACAGGAAGATCCTGACGTAGCTGTGGAGACGGCACACCCTCCTCACTCTGCAGGGACTCTGTCTCCTTTGGTATGTGCTCACATAAATAGCCTGTTGTTCATCGATCAAATACGTGGACGTCATTCCTTCCAAATGGGTTGAAGCTACTTTGACTGATCAATTTTTAGAACAGGCTAACTTAGGGTACTTGCCAAAGAGCAAGTGCAACTCAGAGTGCTGATTTTGAGCCTTCTTCATAGCAACTCACTGGTATGAAATACTCAGAGTATTTGTGCATGACCCACAGAAGTATCTTGCTCAGAGGATTCATGGTTATGCAATGGGCTGCTAGGTGATAGGTCAGTGCTTGCATTGACTCATCTTATAATGTTTATTTATACCCTACTTGTTCTCAGGAAGAATCGAAAGTGCCTTGTCTAGGTGCACATGCTACAACAATGTAAAATAAATGTAAAGGAGATAAAGGTAATAGCATAAAGAGAAAATTAGAGTCAGAAAGAGCAGGAAGCCAGGAATGGGGTTAGTCCATTAAATCTGCACGTGGAATGATTCTGCATATTCACTAGAGAAAAGTCCAAGTTTATTTCTAAGCTTTGGAAACATCCAGAGTAAGTTCAGATTATTAATGTTAAGACTATGTAGAGTTGCTTTATATTTGGATGCTCATTATAGCATTGGCCCCTGGAAGGAGTCAAGCAGAGGACTTTGGGGAAGTTGGTTTTTGCGGTTTGTATACCTACCATGTATGTACCAGGACTTATGTAGGTGCTTTAATTACATAATCATTTACTCCCCCGAACAACCCCGAGAAGTAGTATCTCTGCATCTCACTGATTGCTAACGAGGCCGAACATCTTTTCATGTTCATCGGCCATTTGGATATTCTGTCTTGTGAAGTCTTGTGAAGTCTGTGAAGCCTTCTGTACATTTTTAGTTGTCATTATTATTGTTTTGGATTTATAGGATTTCTTTAGTTATTAATCTATACATTATTCTTTGGCAGTTAAAAGTGAGGAAAATCTTCTTTCCCACTCTACGGCTTTTATTTTTTTAAAACTTTATTTCATGGTTTCTTCCTGTAAATATTTATCTATCTATCTATCTATCTATCTATCTATCTATCTATCTATCTATCATCTATACTGTGGAGGCATTTCGCTTTCTATCTATTTATTTATTTTTAGGTGAGGCAACCCTTAGTTGACCTCACAGATTGCAAGGTCCTTGTCAGCTTATAATCCCTTATTTTTTTTCATCTTTTATGCCTACAGCACCTGGTCTTTCTAGGTGGTCTCCCATCCAAGTACTAACCAGGCTCGACTCTGCTTACCTTCCAAGATCAGATGGGATCGGGCTTGTACAGGGTAGCATGGCCGTAGACAAAAATAGATATTCTTGATGTCGATGTGTCAGATTTATCCTTCACTTCCACTGTGGTTAGTGCCTTTGCTTTTTTGTTTATTTCAAATTGTTTCCTAACCCCAGGTCACAAGGAAGTAGATATTACTATCCTCATTTCATGGATAAAGAAACTGAGGTTCAGAGAGGTGAAATGTTCTGGTCACATACCCAGTTCTTACTGGATTCCCCTTTATAGCTCCTAAAGAAGTCAAGTAGATTTTCGATAGATGTTCCTTCTTGATTTAATAGAGAAGCTTATGTTTTTGTTTAATTTCTCTCTGTGTCTCTCTGTCTCTCTGTCTCTCTGTCTCTGTCTCTCTCCCTCTCTGTCTTTCTCTCTGTCCCCCTCTGTTTGTCTGTGTCTGTCTGTCTGTCTTTTCTTTCTTCCTGTTTTTGTCTTTCCTATTTTAACCTGTAACATACAAAGATTTGAATTGTTCTTCCTCCTTTCTTCCCTCCCTCGTCCATTGTGCCCCAAAATATGACTTTTTAAAAAATTTATTTTAGTTCTAAAATACTGTGATTTTCTGTTTTGTAATGACAAACTAGTGTCACAGGTTACTAATAGCATTGCCAGATACCTGGGACTACACTTGATGAAAGTAAAAGCAACTGAATTGTCTTCTTAGACAAAGGATCATGGCTCAGTAGTACAATGACAGTCTTACCTGATGTTACAGTAGAAGCTCAGTGAATGCTGTTTCAAAACAAATAACTAAAGAGTGCTTATGAGACCAGAAGTTATGTCAAAGAAGTGGGAGGATTCTTTAGAATTCATATGTTATTTCTTAGAGTTCTATGTTGAGCATTTTTTTGGAAGGCCACAAGGCTAACATTTTTTTCCGAAGAAATACTTTAGAAATAGATAAATATTGAACAATTAGATTTTATTTTTCTTAGAAACAGAATATGTTCCTTGTACTTGCATATTTCCCAGGCAGATTTTGTTTTTGTTTCTTCTTGTTTTTGAAAAACAGACATGCAAGACACTTGCTTAAAATGACATTTAAGCTTTTTATTTAAACAGACTAAATTCAAAAAAGTCATGGTAACTTTTATGCAGAGTGTGATCAAGTTGTTGTTTTGGCTCAATCTGGCATAGGTTAGCCATGGCTGAGTGACATAAAACTATGTGAAAAAAAAAATTTATCCCCCCCACCCCCCACAAAGTTCTTACTTAAAAAAACATCTTGTGGGCAATGAACTTTCATTTTGGAATGATGACCTCAAAAGTATAAAATCACACTATTCAGGAAAATTATCTCAAAAAATTTTAAATCTTGAGCTAAAAATTTAATTTAATATCTAATCATTCTAGTGGCTATAGAGTAAAAGTAGGCAGTAAGATTTGAGCATCAGACCAATTTGGATCTCTACTTCTGATGGCTGAAACCCTGAGTGAACAAGACGTTTTTGTTTACATTCCTTCTTCTTGAGAAAGCTTTGCAGGATTGATAGTGGACAGGACATCCTTTTATTCACAGAGAAATTAGAAATGGGAGATTTTTGAGAGGCTTAGTAAAAAAAACTCAAAATAGATAGGAGTCTGTAGGTCTTACTTTGGAAGATCATTTGTAGAAATCACTATCCATGATTCTTTAAAACTCGCAAAAGAGCAAAAAAGGAACCAATGTCATTCACATTTAAAACCTGATATTATAAGTTACAAAGTGATTTAAGAGCTGTAAAGATCGTTAAAAATCTGTCCTACAAATTTTTTCTCTAAATTTAATTTTTAAAAATTATTGTCCGAAAACTTGATTTATGCTTATATACTTATTAATTTATTTAATAAAAATTTTTGAGAGCCATTGTTCTAAATACTTGGGATACACCAGCGAACAAAAAAGACAATAATTCATTTCTTTGTGGAACCAAACTTCTAGTTGAGAGAGACTTATAATGAACAAACAACATAAGTAAAATGTCTGCTATGTAAGTAGAATAAGTAGAATATGTCAGGGTGAGTGAGGGGATGGGGAGTGCTGGAGGTCAAGTTGCAGCCATAAATAAGGGAAGCAGGGCAGGCCTAAGGGAGAGCTGAGGTCTGAGAAAAACTTGAGAACAGTTAGAGTCAAGATCCCCTTGGTGCATTCAGGATGATGCAAGGAAGCCAGTGTGGCTGCAGCAGGATGAATAAAGCTGGGAGTAGCAGGAAATGAAATTACAAGGTAGTGGTGGTCATGCCATACTGTGAGCCAGGTAAGGACTTTGATGTTTTGAGTTATTTAGAGTGCGTTGGGCAAGTTTGAGGACAGGAGCGATGGGATGTGATCAATTTCCATTTTGAAAGGACCATTCGAGCTGCTGTGTTGGGGAGACCTTGGGAGGAGGTGCTAAGTATAGAAGCAAAGAAATCTAAGAGAGGGTGTGCTATGATCTAGTGTGAGAGATGGTGGTGATTTGGGGCAGGGCATAGTTGGGAAATGGAATGATCATATTTTTAATAGAATTGGAAGGTAGAGCACCCATAGATGGATCAGATATGAGAGAAACTGAGAAGATAAATATTTGTAATCCTAGTTTCAAGAAACTCATGCAGACCATTTTCACATGACAGTCCTCAAATTTTGATACATTTCAGAAGTACAATTCCTTTATATCCAAATGATGGGGAAAAAAATCAGCTAAAGCAAACCGAAAGAAGCGATAAATAAAAAGAAAAAAACCCCTGCAAACTGTGGCCCATCGGCCAGTGGCAAGGGAGGAAGTCTCTTAAACACAAGAAGTGGTAAAATCAATTTTAGAAATTAAAATTTAATCCTAGTAAGGGTGAATCTTGCACAGCTGTTTACTGAAGGCCACTTGATGACATGTACTGTGTAAAATAATAGAAGTGCTTGCGAGTGAGATAGTTGTATTGGAGATGATCAGTGACGACCCATTTAAGGAAAAGGTAGAGAAAAAAATTCATGCCCCCTCTTCAAGATGCAAAAAAGTATCACAAACTCCGTGGTTGAACACCGAGCTGATTTTAAGATTATGCTAAAATTAGCCTTTGTGTTCTTGCCTCTTGCTTTACCAGTTCATCCCCACACCCCACTCTTCTAGCAGTTGGTCACTAGATGTGGTGACTGTCCCACAACCTTTCATTCTCACTGCCACTGTCCTAGTTGGTGCCCGCATTAACTTTGGCCTGGGTTATTGAAATAGCAGGCTTTTTTTTTTATTTTTTCCTTTCTGTGTCTCTAATTTCTCTCCTCTTAAAAACCACTTCCAAATTAGTCTTCCTAAAGTATAGTTCTGATAATTTTGGTTCACCTGAGCAAGACCTTTCAGTGAACTCTTGTTGTTTATCGAATTAATTCTGGACTCACCGGCTTGGTATTCAAGGCCCTTGGGCTCACTTTAGACTGCCATTATGGTTGTTGCTGATTCTACCTTTGTCATCAGCTCGACAAACTGCCTGTCATTTCCTCAAAGCTCTTCAGACTTTCCTTCTTTTGGGCCTAGAATTATTAAGTTTTTCCACTTGTAGGAACCACTCGCCACCCTCCTAGGCCTGTAAGGCAGGATAATCCTGCCCTCTCCCGAAGTCTTCGCGTTCTTATAGTGCGTTGTTTTTTTGACACCTTTTTCATGTTGTTGTCATCTGCCTTGTATTATAGATTTTGTTTATCTGATTTATTTCTCTAATTATTAAATTCTTAAAGTCAGAGGCATTGTCTAATATCTTTTTCTTTACCCGTAACATTTATGGCTGTGTCTAACACATATTTGGAACACAATAAATATTTATAATGGACTGATAAATGGGAGAGTGGGTGATTATTGTGACTTTATCCCCAACTTCTACAGATTTATTACTCTGCAAATATTTCCCCAGGTGAATTAGGAGTTACTACTTTACATTTGTCTGGTACTTTCATGTCTCTATGAGAAGGATGGTCCCATTTGACTCTCCCAAAAATTCGATATGAGTTTTACAAGTGAGGAAGCCAGGTTCTAGAGAAGTAAATTTAACTGTCCTAAGTATCATTTGCAAGCTTAAGCTTACATTTTATTAAGATATTCTTTTATGTTATTTCATTTGCTCCTCTCAGTAAATCTGAGTCAGTCAGTCAGGTAGCTAATGAGTATTTTTGTGCATGGACCACGTACTAGGTAATGCTGTGGATAAGGGATGCTGGACTGAAATAGACAATGTCTCTTCCCGTGTGCATCTTAAGTTCTAAAGTGAGGAAGAAGCACAATAAATCTGTGATTCCAAGAAAATAATCTCTAGCACTGATAAGTGGTGTGAAGAAAAAAAATAGGGCATTGATGCTAGGGAGAGGCCATTGTTGAGAATGGGAAGATATTGTTTTGCCTACCACTGCCAGGGAAGAACCTGCTGAGGAAGGGACATTTGAATTGAGACCAAAATGATGGGAAGAAGGCGGCCAACAAACAATCCAGGGAAGGAGCCTTTCAGGCAGAAGGAACGAGAGATTTGTTCAATGAACAGAAAGAAGACTAATGTGGCGAGAAAAAAGAGGAGAAGGTAGGCAGAAGGAGATGCTTCTGGAAGGGTAGCTAGGGGTCCATGTAGGCCTTCTCAGATATTAAAGGCTATGGCTATTTTTTTTTTTTTTACATGTAAGGGAAATTATTAGAGGATTTTCAGCCAGGGAATATTGTCATCTGTTTCATGTTTTAGAAATACTGTAACTGTTGTTTGGAAGGGAGAATGGACTGGGGTGGGGAGCAGGGTAAGAAATCAGTAGATTAAGACTTGGAGGTAAAGTGACTTCTCCAAGGTCAGGGTTGGAGTGAGGAGTGAGTCTTTTGATAGTTTATTGACCAAGGTCATGCTGAAGGTCAGGCACAGAGTAGGGCGTATACTATATAAGGTCATCGAATTTTTAGGGCAATTCTTCTTCTACTAGCACGTGGTAGAAATACAAACAATACTTTCTAGGGCTTACCAGCAATGAGCTGGTTTGTTTTTATTAATATAGCTAATAAAAGGAAAGAAAAGCTGTGCATGTTCCTTTTTTTAAAATTAGTTTTATTATGTTCGGTCTTAAATTATTCTTTTATCTTCCATTTTTATATGCTTTGACTAATATAGCTTAAGATTTATATACTGACTCATTTCTTCCTAATTACAGGCTTTTGGTGGCCATTTAAAATTATTTTTCTCTATGTCAAACTTCTGTTTTTAAAACAATAAAGAAATAGGGTTTGTAGCTAATTAGCATTTGAACTATGCTTCTTCAACGAATAGAAGTGTTTCATACAGAAAATGGGAGAAAGTCATATTGAATTTTTAATGTAGTCATATACATAGTTTCTTCATTAACACTAAGATCTTTAAAATGCCTCTAATTTTCTCATTAAAAAATAAAATATTTAAATCCCAAATGTTCTGAAATGCGTGAAACCATCTACAATGATCAATCTCTAATAAATAAAATAATAATTTTGTTTGAGATCATGAGAACAGTTTATGAGAATCTTTGCAGCCAGTACCAGCCACTTTTAGATCCAAGGATTAGGATAAATCATCCATAGCAACGTACAGGGAATTTCAGGGTGCTCTTCAGTAAGAAGTTGAACTACTCAGGGCTGTTTTTCTTCACGCCACTGGCTCTCTAGTTTGCTCTTTCTTGGCCTTAATTTGTGACCAACTGTGTGTCAGGCACAGATACAACAAACGGAAATGCAAAAAATGATTAAAAACAGCCTGTTCTCAACTTTCCAACCAAAATAAACAAATCAATCAGCAATTACAGTATCAGTTGACGATTAAAATAATAGTCCACTTGGTATGCTGGAAGTAAACTCAGGAGCACCAGTCAAAGGTCCCTGTCTTACCCTGAAGCCCCCAGAGAAGATTTCTGGGAGGAGCTGGTCCCTGAACCGACACTGGAAGAATAGACTTGCGTTGACCACACAGGGGTGAGACTGTCACACCTTTCAACCTTCATTTGACTTGCAATGGGGAGTTTTATGAGTATCTTACATGGATGGTTCACAGAAGGCAATGAGCTAAAAGTTCTTTGTTTAACATGTAGCTGTTCATAGGTACAGAATGGTAACAGCGAACCATGATTTGGCACCACACTATCCATTAAACACGTTCCCATATTGAATATTCGTGCTCCAGTTCCATTTGGTTTGTATTTTGTCAATCTCTCTTCTAATGAAAACTCTCTCTGACCTGATACACATAGTCTTTTTCTCATTTCTTTTTTCCTTCTCTACAGTTTTTCTCCTCATTCCTCCTCTTCCTTCTCTTTCCCCTTCCACCTACCCTTCTCCTCCACCTTCTTATTCTTCTCCTTTTTTCTGGCTCACTTTTCTTTTCTTTATTTAAAAATCAAATTTATACATATTCTATGATGCTAGGAAAAAATGGATTGAAATGATTTGCACTGTTTTTGAGTATTACCACAAACAGGAATCCAATTCTGATGTGCATGTAACCTGTCTTTCCTTAGGCGTTTAAACAGAATTTTCAGGTTCAGAGGCTTATGGAATGTGCTGCAGCAACTGTGTGTAGTTTTCTGCTCAAACAGCCCATTTGTTAATTTGCTGTAATCAAATTAGAGAGTATCAGCAGGGGCAACAGGAAATGCTTGTGCTCGGTCTCTTTTCAGAAAAGGAAGCTAGCTGATCACATGGAAGCCAAGTGATTTACCAAAATAGCTCACTATTGAAGAACGTGTCAGGACTGGGCCTGAATGGGTATTTTTGTTAATATTTCTTTTGTAGGTTCTGTATTGTGTAAACTGTTCCTGGCATTTGTTTGGACAGTTTGGGGAGGGGGTTTGCGTTTTTTCCTCTTGATAACTGGGGTTTTATTTAGTGAATTATAGGTCTTTCTTTGATCTCTTAGTTATTAAATGGTTGGAATGTTTTAAGGCAACTGGTTCCCAAGCTCATTGACACATTCCTGAATGGAAAGCTTTCATGTCTTTGCAAATATACTATTATTTAGAAGATTTGTGTGATGAGTTAGTATTTTAACTGGATATTGCAAAGTCATGCTACTAAAAAGTGGATTTATTTATTATTGAACAATTCATGTCTAGTATGCAGCAACTGGGCATGCATTGGTTACATACTGGCTTTTTCCAACAGAACTCAGAGCTTAGAACTTACAAAATTCTTGGGAATAATTGGTTTGAAACAAAGTCAGCCATTCTGAGTTAGTTGTAATGATCTTGAGGTTTTTCAGGAGAAAACTCTAGTTTACCCTTTGGCTTCTTCCTTCTGGCAGTTCCCTCCCTCCCACATCCTTGGAGTTTTGGATGCTTGAAAGTAACAGGAGTATTCCGTAGGATGATATAATGAAACTGAACCATAAAATGCCTTCTCTGTCTCATCTGCCCTTGGAGACATTGGGCAACTCAGAGAGCACAGGTTTCTAGATTTTTGGATTTTACTCACCAATAAAATGAAAAATGGAGGACAACATATTATTGCCAAGTCATTATTTTGCTATATAGGATATTAAAAACAAAACAACTCCAAAAAGACAAAAGCTAATATCTACCATCACCATTTTCCAAATATATTTTCACATCAAAATGTAACAAAGATAAAATCTCAGAAGTCTGCGATTTCAAGACAAATGAAGTCTTTCCCAAGAGAAGACTATTGGTGGTACCGCGTTGATGTCTACTCCATCAACGCATCAGGATTGGTGAAACTTTTACCAAGGATTGCCATTTATCCTTAAACTGTATGTTACAATCTGCTTTAGGAAGCTCCTACATTATCAACCTACTTTTCATAGTCCGTGGCGCAGTTTTTGATTTCTTTTTCATTAATCAGGAGCCTGAGAATGTATCCTTGTCTTCTCTGGTGAAAGTTTCTTAAAGTTTTTTAAAATATCGAAGAGAAATGACAACATTATTTAACCTATGTAGTTATGAGCTGATACTGGTTACGTATGAAGAAATATGTGAAACATATTTGAGGATTGAAATAGATGCGCTTTGCCCCACATCACTGGTCTCCACTCACTTAATATGATTTTGCTTCCTATCTGGCTCTAGCTTTTGCTTTCTTTCTCTTAATTACCTTTCTTAAGAGTTTTTGCTCAATCAATGAGAATTCAGTGATAGATTGCAATCTACTTTTTGTTCAAACAATCATTCGGTTTTCCAAAGAACTCTCCCAAGAGGACTTTTAAATTTCTGGAGAGCACTGAAGAATAGGGTAAATCATGCTATGGAGATCTTTCAGATCTTAGAACAGTGAATTCAGAGTGACACAGATTGGTTTTTAGAAAATGGTATCATAATGTCTGTCATACAGATACCTAATATGTTTTTCTTTTGACTCTCTTATTACTGGCCACTTTTTGAAACACTGGGGTACCTTTATTGAATACGAAAAGTGGAGAATGCTGGTTTAATCATGATTTATTTCATTCTTTTTGGATTTTATCTATGCAAAACAGGCACAGCAGGCGTCTTCATCTTCCCTGAAATCAAGTGAAACGTCGTCTTCTTTCTCTTCCCTGGAAAGTACAATAAAGACATCCAGCAGCTTGACCTCCTTATCTAAAGAAAGACAGTCTTGGATCAACATGGTTAACAGTTCATCCACTGCTGAAGATGTGGGACAATCAATAGCAATCGCTGTGCAGCTTCACTCACCTGCACCCTCGGAGGCAAACAGTTGCAAGGCCCTGGAAAACAGCTTTGCCATGTCGGAAAGTGGATTTTTGAACTCTTTATCGAGCGATGACACATCCTCACTGAGTAGCAACCTAGACCATCTTAGTGTCCCAGACAAGCCTACTGGATCAAAGATGATGGACAGAGGTAAACCAAGAAATTGTTTACTCTTCTTTAGAGAATGACTATTTGGTGTGGTTGTGGAACTCTAATGTTAACTTGTGAAAAGAGTGTTAAAAGTCATGAATGATGATGCAGTAATTGGATGGTCAGGTGCACCTAAGCCCAGGGGCTACCTCTATAGAGGAGTTTGCATGTGGGAAGCCAGCTTCGAGGCCAATCATGACCTCTTATAAGCGTCACTAACCAAATGCTTATGAAATGATCATACGCTGATATTTTTTCACCAATCTGAGGAAAGGCTTGTCTCTTTTTGGCTCCATGTGCTATGCTCTGGAGCTTGTGGGGATATTTATGATGTAACCTCCATGGTTCCAAACAAATTTAGAGCAACCATCTTTCCTGGGCCATGACCACGGATGAAGTTTGGTTGGCCCAGCTAGCGGGTTCCTGAAGGTGCCTGTGAGGTTAACAGGGAGACAGACAATTGACGTACACTTTGGAGAAAGCACAGAGCTTTTAAACACAAAATAGAGCACAGTGTATGTTTTTGAAAAACAAAAACAAAAACACCCACATTTTAAGTCTTAGCAAAGGAAAGAGTTAATAGAGTCTAAATATTAATTAATAATGTGAGCTTTCTTAGTATTCTGTGATAGTTGGTCCTTATCTTTTATTCAGACTAACTTTTCTTTTATTATTAGTTTCAATCATGGTGTCTCTTTTCTGATGGTCTGTGCCTTATTCATTCTAGTGTAGAACATGCTCACCTGATATGAGATATTGAGCAATGAGAAGATGATGAGTTTGGTCTGTCTTTTCAGGGTGCTGTTGAGAGAAATCTGACTAGCTACATTCCCATGATACTTAGTCAGAGTGGTAAAGTTTTTTTAAGTTCTCAAATCTTCAGATGTACCTTATTAATTTAGTATTTGATATCAGAGTAATTTAAGCCAAGGATTACAATTGCGAATCCAGTTGTGTGGTTGTGTGTGTGTGTGTGCGTGTGTGTGTGAATGTGTGTGTGTGAATGTGTGTACAGTATTTTAAAGAATCTGAATACCGAGGCTGAGAACTCATTCTCCAAGTCACCGCAGTTGTCACCACTCCCTGTGGCCTTACCTGAAAAAGTTTCACGCAGTCGAGTTATCTGCCTGGCTTCTGATGGCATTTTTTGCTTGACACCCCTAACTCAGGCCAACAATTTACTGTACATTTTTAAAAAGTAGAGTGAATGAAGTTATTGGCAAACCAATCTACTTCTATCGGTGAATGATATATAATACGGAGGGCAATGGAAGTAATGCCACTGAGGGATATGGAGGGGTCAAGTTCTGACTGAGGAATGGAAAATGGTAGACGCATGCTGGCCTCCGGTGTGTGAAATGCTGTTATGCAGAAAAATGGTCTTCATTTGCATCTGCTCGGAAGTACGAAATTGAGGCCAGTGGTACAACTAAAAAGAAGGTAGTTTTAGGTTCAGCATAGAAAACTTCCTTTGAACATTGAAAACATTCAAAAAGGAAGGAATGCATTCCTTGTCATTGGAGGTGTTTACTCACTCTGAGACAATCATTTTCATTGGCTATTAATTGCATATTGCATATTGATCATAACCTTTGTTCTCACAAAGACACACTGAAGAGAGAGTTTAAATATCTCAAACTCGATGGCCTCTAACTTCATCCTTAGAAAATCTTCCCAGATATAGGACTGGTAACATTAGAGAAAGTAATCGAAAGTACCACATCTCTTCTTTCCCCACTAAAAACTCATAGTCATTGGGCCATAGGGTAGAACAGTTTCATACATATACCCATACTCACACCCACACCCGCAGCACACCAGGATGAAGATGGCTTCGAAAGCAAAATAGAGAATAAGATTCCATTTGCATTTCTTTCCCAAGGGATAACTCTGCAGATTGAAAGTTTCGTCTAGGATGACTAATTTGAGAGTCATAGGAAGTTGTATGCAGTTCTTACCCTTGTCTAAATGTCACTCTTGGGATGCATGCATTGCAGAGCCTGGCTGGGTACTTGCAGTGCTTTCAACCTAAGAAGGAAGACACCTTGTATTTTCAAATTCTGAGTTAACTGCAGAGTGCCCAATAGAATCTGTATGCTTCTTCGAACAGCTTGATGTGAAGCTATTTCTCTCAGTAGAAATAAAGAGAAAATAAAAGCATTCTTCTCTCACTGATTTGTTGGCAGTTACCATATGATACAAAATTTTTGCTGGTGATTTTCTTCTGCTGCTGAGGATTTGGTTAAATTCCCAGAGGAGCTAAAACTACATAAAGTCATTGCTATGGAAACAGCTACCCAGTCTTTGCTTGTATTTCTGATGACTTGCTATGGAGAATCAGATTGTGTATTTTGCTTTTTTTTTTTTTTTAACCTATTTGTATTGGAGAAGAAAGTAGCTTTTTATTTTTCTGACTTTTAAAATTTACTTTTTTCTGCCAATTAGAAAAAGAAAGAAAAGCCTTGAATTTCCTGTGACCGAAATATCATTCAGGATGTTTTCATGACAGGGACTGATAGAAGTTTCAATATGGCCCAAAACAGGAGTTAAGATTTTAAATTAAGCCCCAGGCTCAAGATTTGTTTGCTAGAGAAAGAAACTATTTCAGAAAAGATGCTTAAAGATTAATAACTGAGCCCTGACACAAGCAAATAGCATGAAATAGAGCCTGCTTTTTATTTCGACAATGAGAGACATATTTTGGAGTTTGTATACAATTAAAATGTGGTTGCTAGAATTCTATGCTGAATCTAAATATCCTTTTAGGCGTTTCTACCCTGCTGTGTAAACTATTAAAAAATTCAGAATGTTAATTGCCTTTCCACATTGGTGGTTTCAGAGTTCCAGAGCCCCAGAGCTCCCTGGATTCTTCAGTCTCTCTATAAGGCATTGGGGAAAAGGGGTGATTGGGGTTAATGAAATGTTCATCTCAGTTTTTCTCTATGCTATACCTTTTTTTTTTTTTTAAAAAAAAGATTATTTGGCCCATGACTTATGCTTTTGTGATGATCACTCACATTATATGTCTCTACTTAAATATGATAACAACATGGAGAAAATTTCACTATACTTACTCCATAAATGGAGCGTCTATACCCTGGATGGTGAATAGCTAATGACCACTAATAAGATGAAACCCAATTTATTCAAATATGTTTTTCAAGTACAGGTATAGACAATTAATCTGGGAATCATGTTGAATAAAAAGCGTTCTTAGTGAAGAGACAAGCACACTAGAGCATGCATGACATCTCAGGCAGTGGCATAAAGGAGCCAGATTTGGGGATTTAACAAATATTACAAAAATTTTTATACAATCTGAGTGCAAAAAGTACAGATGCTGCATTATTTTAGCTAGCTACTTCAGAGATTGCTATAGGAATTGTGTGGCATGTCTCTTTAGGAAGAAAATAATGAAAAAAAAAGTTGAATACTGAATTCCATTCAATTTAGCATTATTTTTATCTTTGAGTACCTAATATCTATTCAAGTACATTGTGGTAATAGGAAATACAGAGATGAGCAAGATACAATTTCTAGTCTCAAACATTTTAACATCTAATAGGGAGAGTGGGAGGAATAAGATGCACTTAACCAAAGAAAGCAGAGTAAAATAAATGCTACCAGGAGATATAAAGTACTGGAGGCATTTAAAAGTGTGCAGGGACTCAAAATGTGGACGATCGCAGCAAAGTGATCTAAGATGTGATCTAAGTGGGTGGTTCTGTGTGTAGAGAGAGGAGACGTGGGGAAGATAGAAGTTTGGATGATGTTGAAAACTGAGCTAGTCGTTAATTTATTTCAATAGATGATGGATGACCATTTCCAACCAGAGTAATCATAAATTGAGCTATACTTCAGAAAAATTATGTTAACTTTCGAATGTAGAGTAGAAGAGAATAAGAGGAGATTTATTCTCTTAAAAATAAGGAAATTAGAAGAGTTTGGAAGCTTTTATAATAGCTGCGGTGGCAGTGGAAATAGAAATTAAAGGAGAGACTTGGAGAGTTCTTTAGCATGCTTATCAAGGTGAAGACTGATCTTGACCTTTGTACCTCTATCACTTAATTTAGTCCCTAGAAGATTTCCTATTGATTTATATTTTTGAGCTATAATTTGAAAAGTGATCTGAAAATGAGACTATTTACTCCTAGGAAAATCTCGGATCTATAATTAATAATCTCAGTCACTGATGACCCAAACATCTACTTCCTCTGCTCCAGGTGAGGTGGCTAAAGATCTCTAGAAGATGGCATGAAATAATACCGATTATCTGTAAATTTGTACAATATAATTAGTTCATTTTTAGTTGTCAGACCTTTATCTCATCTTTTTCCTCCTTACTTCATATTACTTTTCCTGAGGCTAAGGGTTATGAATGGGAGATGGAGGGAAGTCGCTAAGGCAAGGGTTTTGAAGATGACGACAAGCATAATCTAGATTTTGGAGGTATGTAATCTCAGAGAGACATCAACAGATTGGAAGATGTAAGGGGTTTAAGGAATTGGAGGTCACAACTAAAGATATGTAGATTCAGAAGAGACAGAATAGGAAAAAGAAGATCCTTGTACTCAGAGAGAAGTAAATTTACAGGTGAAGGTTTTAGATGTTTAACAATCTGAAGAGTTGGGGCGAAGGTATTTAAAATGGTCTGCTCTGGGTGTCAGATAAACTAGGCATACCTCTGCTCGTGGGCACAGGAGTTCTGTCAGAACACTGAGTTCATTCCAGACCAAACCCGCAACTGTCATGAAAAAAGCAAGGCTTTGCAATCAGTCATATTTGACATTCCTTTAAAAGCTATGCTACGAGAACAGTGTTTTATCAAAATTTTTGAACAAATTTTTTTTTGTTTATGTAGAATATAGAAAACAACATTGGGAGACAAAATCAAGACTATTTTCATATTTGATAGTAAAGCCATTTCTAAATCAGTGGAACCTGAGCCAAAGGGAGGGGCCATAGGTTTATCTCCTTGGTCTGGCAGCAATGCAGAAGTT